ACTCCCCTAGTTTATAAGGTACGGGCAACGGCCTTGTATAAGGTCATCCCTGATCTATATGGTTATGTGACAACTGTCACGAGGTTTTGGTGTACATCTACTATCAACGACTCAACGGACATCAACTTTAATATTTAATAATTATATATTTGTTTCTAATTGTTTTGGTATACAATAGTTAATTTTTTTAAAATCCTACTGTGGTCCGACAATACACTGTCTCGCCCAGTAGGTTGGCGACCCTCTTCTTATAATTTTGTAAAACGCCATGAAAGTTACAAATTTTTCGTTGCGGCCAATTAATTTGATTTTTATATATTTGTAACCTTTCAACTCTGAAATTCTATCTAGATTATCTTTTTTAAACTTTTTTCAATACAACAATATATATAACAATACTGGATCAATTTCGGATTAAGTTTTTTCTGATTTACATAATATGTCTGTTAAAAAATCTTATAATCCTCTTGTTCCGTCTGATGCTTATCATCCTGGATTACTAATTTCTTTTCCCATAGTTGTAAATAAACCGATTGATTATAATTTTTGTATTTATAATTTTTTTAATTGTATCTACGCGGAAATAAATTTTACTTTATCATCGATCGACTAGAATAACCTATTTAAAGAACTATGTGTAAATCAAGCTATCAATTAATTTTACTCTATTATTTATGAAATTTTTGAGATTTTTGTACCTAAAATAATTAAACAACATTTTACTCATCCTCCATGATTTAACAGAAATTTTAAAGAATTAATTTTTAAGAAAAATATAGCCCATACAATTTTTAAGAGTTTGGGCTTGGTGAGTGATTATAATAAAATTTCTAATCTTCGTGCAAAATGTAAATATTTTTCAAAATTTGACTATCAAAATTACTTAAAAAAAATTCAAAATAATTTAAAAACTCATCTTAAGCAACTGTGGAAATTTATTAATAACAAACGTAATAATAATTTTCTACCGAATGGTTTATATTTATTCAATGAAGAATTTATTACTCCTAATAACATTGTTAATGCTTTTGCTAATTATTTCTCCAGTGTTTACGAAGATTACAATAATGATAATGCAAATTACAATAATTGTAATTTACATTTACATTATAATTATTATAATGTACCGCCTAAAGTTCTTTCTTCTTCTAAGCACTCATTCTCAATTGAATTAATTGATATATTTCAGTCTCTTAGCTCTTTAAATTCTAACTGCAGTCCTGGTCCTGATTTAATACCAAGTGTATTTTTAAGAAATTGTAAGTATGCTATTTCGCTACCTCTATTTCTTACTTTAATGTATCACTGTCATCTGGTACTTTCCTCGACGCATGGAAAACTAGCCTCATTCGACCTATTCCTAAGACCTTTACTGATATTTTAAATATCTCTTTAGAACTTTTTCAACTTAACTTTTGAAAATGTTCCCGAAAGACTTACACTTTTATATATATCTTAAATAAAAGCTTATGTAAAATACTTTAATTTGAAAAAAAAAATTTGACCTCTGGACTTGTCTTCGTGGTGAAAACGGACATCAAAGTTAAAGAAAAACGTACGATTTCCGTGAAAAATTTTCGATGTTATATTTTATATAACTTTTGGAAAAATGTATGGATCAATATAATTATTTTTTTATAATAAATATTTATATACCCCTTTCATCTGGCACGCTTTTTTTGTAAATCGGATCATACCCCTTTAACAAGGGGGGTCAAAACTTTAAACATGCGTATTGTTACTAAGATATTTTCAATTTAATTTTTGAAAGTATTCCGGAAATACTGACACTTTTTTATATATCTTAAATTAAAGCTTATATAATATACTTTAATTTGAAAAAAAAAATTTGACCTCTGGATTTGTCTTCATGCTAAAAATGACTACCGTATTCAAAAATTTGCTATCTTTGTGTTAAAATTCTGTTTGGNAGCATAGAAAGTTAAACTTATTTAAATTTGTTTGCTTTTTTTAAGTCGAGAAAAATAACTTTGAAATTTGAACTAGCTTAAATAGCCAATTTTTCAACCGACGGAAGCAACGTACGGCTGCCTAGTTGGTAAAACTTACATTTTACGCGCTTGGGGTACGAGGTTCCAACCCGCATATGGCAATGAATTTTTTGCATTTTTTCTGAATTCTTTTTAAGTTAGTATAAATTTTTAACTCGTTTGATTTTTATCTCATTTAGATTCAAAAACTTCAATAAAGATCGAGGATCCCATCACTTTAGTCGTCCCTTTCAAGAAAAAATGTCTTATTCGTATTAAAATTGCTTTACTATATTTTAAGTTTTAGCTTCGATGCAAAGCTGAGAAGTTATTTTTTTGTGACTATCATTTATTTTCTCTGCTCTAACTTGACCTACTTTTTTCAACAATACGTCAAATGACTACAATTCGTATCTAGTTGAAGATATTACTCTCAAAAATTGAAAAAAAAATTCTAATTTATCAATTAAACAGTTAGTTATTACATGTTCTCCATAAAGACAATTAAAATCATTAATTTCTAATGTTTTCATGATATTTATTAACAAATGAAGTTTAATATGATAGGTTTCAACTACAAAATTAAATCATTTTACTTTGTAATTTAATAATTTTTTTACTCTATTTGTGTGTGCTACTACTAGACTATAATATTACAATTTTTTTTTGTAACATGTTGCTATATAAATCATTTCTAAAAAAAATGATTGTTTTTTCTCCTGAATTAACAATTGATTTTTACAAATATAATCAAATTTTATAATACACTCAATTGAGTAAATCTTTTTAACAACTTTGTTTTGATTGGTACATTTAGTTAAAGTAAATCATTAAAATTAATTAAGTTCTCAATATTATTTCAATTGTAGAATCTTTTCAAACAACAAAAGTTACTAGGAAATTATTACTATTACTTCTATTTAAGTTATCTATTACCATAAAAATGCAAAAAAATATTGAGCTTTTCTGATAAATTTACAATAAATAGTAATTATAAAACTTTCTGACTGCATATTGATCTTAACGATACAATTTTTTTAATTGTCATAAAATTTTCTATTTAATTATGTCAATGTCAAACTTACCAATTGAGCTAAAAGTTATGGTAAAATAAATTTTTTTTTTTTATTATAAACATTTACAACAATCAACTTTAAACGATTAACAAAATAGGTTAAATATGTCATTTTCCTTATTTTTAACTTATTAATAATCAAATTAATATTAAATATTATATCAAATCAGTATTAATTTAAAACAATTTTTTTTGTTCTTAATTATTTTTTTTTATATGTAAAAACTATTTTTTAATAATATTAAAACTTAGAAGTTATAGAAAAAGTCTAATTGCACATTTTAAAACATCGCGAAAAGTTGATTTAGAATAGTATATTTTTGTTTCTGATGGAAGTTCCTTGTAGTCCAGTGTATAAAACTTATAACTTTGTTAATTGTTATAACTTTATCAAAAATGACCAAATCAGTATATTTTTTTTTATTTAGATGCATGTCTTTATCTATCATTTGGTTTTTTTTATAAATCTAACCCTTTACCTGCCCACAAGAGGGATTCAAAATATTAACTTTTTTTTTTTTAGTTAAAGTAAATCATTAAAATTAATTCAGTTCTGGATATTTCAATAGTAGAATCTTTTTAAATATCAAAAATTACTTAGAAATGATTACTATGATTTCTATTTAAGTGTTACTTAAGTTAAAAATGCAAAAAAATATTGAGCTTTTCTAATAAATTTACAATAAATAGTAATTATAAAACTTTCTGACTGCATATTGATCTTAACCATATAATTTTATTAATTCTCATAAAATTTTCTATTTAATGATGTCAACGTCAAACTTGCCAATTCAGCTAAAAGTTATGGTAAAATATTTATTTTTTTTTATTATAAGCATTTACAACAATCAACTTTAAACTATTAAAAAAATAGGTTAAATATGTCATTTTCCTTATTTTTAACATATTAATAATCAAAATTAGTATTAATTTAAAACAATTTTTTTTGTTCTTAATTATTTTTTTTTATATGTAAATACTATGTTTTAATAATATTAAAACTTAATAGTGATAGAAATAGTCTAATTGCACATTTGAAAACATTACGAAATGTTGATTTAGAATATTATATTTTTGTTTCTGATGAAAGTTATTTGTAGTACAGTGTATAAAACTTATGNTGGAAGTTCCTTGTAGTCCAGTGTATAAAACTTATAACTTTGTTAATTGTTATAACTTTATCAAAAATGAAAATCAGTATAATTTTTTTTTTATATAGATGCATGTCTTTATCTATCATTTGGTTTTTTTTTTTATAAATCTAACCCTTTATCTGACACAGGGGGGATTCAAAATAATAACTTTTTTTTTTTTAGTTAAAGTAAATCATTAAAATTAATTCAGTTCTGGATATTTCAACTGTAGAATCTTCTTAAATACCAAAAATTACTTAGAACTGATTACTATGATATCTATTTAAGTGTTCTATTACGATAAAAATTCAAAAAATGATGAGTTTTTTTGATAAATATACTGTAGATAGTAATTATAAAATTTCCTGACTGCATGTTAATCTTAAAAATAACATTGTTTTAATTCTCATTAAATTTTCTATTTAATGATTTATTCTAGTCAACGAAGGAGTAACTTTGGCGAATAACAGAAAAAATTCCTAACCAAATTTTTTTTTTTTAAAGTAGGAAATTGGTGGATTATTCCAAAAGCAACATCAACTCTTATTTCTTTAATTATATCCTGATAAGTAGTTCTTTGATTATAAAATATAATATATGAATAAATATTAATTATAGTTTTTAAATTTAGTATGAAATTGATTTTCAATAATTTAATATTGTAATTTAAACAGAGAAATTATAAAAGTAATAAAGAAGTTATATTTTGTTTTACTTTTANATAATAAAGAAGTTATATTTTGCTTTACTTTTACGTGTATAAAAATTTAAAGGGCTTGATACAATAATTATCAATAAAAACTGTTTGTTACTATAAATGAATGCACTATACTTCAAGGAACTTTCATCAGAAACAAAAATATACTTTTCTAAATCAAATTTTCGCGTTGTTTTAAAATCTGCAATTAGACTTTATCTATCAGTTCTAATTTTTTATATTATTACTAATTACGTTTAAAATAATAATTAAAAAACAAAAAAATTGTTTTCAAATAATAACTGATTTGATTTTTATATGTTACAAATAATCAGTCCAAATTTTCATTTTTAACCTATTTTTTTGGTTCTTTAAAGTGGATGAAAAATTTTTGATAAAGATTTATGAAAGTTTATAGTAAAATAAATTGAATATATTACCATAACTTTTAGCTCAATTACAAGTTTAAAATTGACATCTAGGCCAGTCAACAAAGGAAAAATTGCGGAAAAAATTCCCAACTAAATTTTGTTTTTCTAAAAGTTCAATTAAAATATGTATAATGACATACTAATTTTTTTACAGCCTCGCAAATGTTCAAAAATATAAGATTTTTTAATTTTCTCATAACATGACTAAACAATCTAAGTCTATTTTCTGTCATCTTATCCACGGTTGAAGCAATACTTATACTTCCACTTATATATATGCTCGTTCCTCATCCCATCTTCTCTAATCACTTCACTCATCCATCTAAGGATTCTCATCTCTGCTACACTTATTCTCTGCTCTACTTTCTTATCAACCGCCCAACACTGTGAGCCATACATCATAGCTGGCCTAACAATTTCATACTACATTTAAAAACTATAATTAGTATTTATTCATATATTATATTTTAAAATCAAAGAACTACTAATCAGGATATAATTAAAGAAATAAGAGTTCATGTTGCTTTTAAAATATTTCACCAATTTCTCTAAAGGAAACACTATCTACAGATTTGCATCGAAGCGTTTCTTATGATAGTGATTTTAATCACTGTCAGATATCATCTATACTT